ATATGTATTCTTTTATCTTTTTGCTTATTCATTCAATCGGAAAAAAAAAACCCTAGAGTTTATTATAGAGTGTATTGTCAGCCCCAGATACAAATATGAATAAGTCACTTTACTTTTAAACATCTTACTATTTATTAAGGAAAATTAACATCTGATAAGTTTTAAATTATATTTTTATCAAAAACTACTTAAATCAAAGACTTAGGTTGAGTAGAAACACTGAAATATGGATGAAAGAATGATAAATCCTTAGAAGCAAATAATAGTCCAGTACATTTATCAAAAAGAAATCAAGCTAATTAGGCATCACTTTTCATTAGTTAATCCATGTTTATTTTGGAGGGCTCATATCTTTTTCTAAATGTTTATAATACATCTTTTAAATGTAATATATCATAATAAATTATAGTATATTCTTACCAGGCATCATGTCAAATTTGGCTGCTTCTACTATAAAAGTAATTAGGGAAAATTCACTCAACAGTTTAATTACTCTGATTTCTTTTTAATACAAAAAGTTAATTTAATTTGCATGTCAAATACTATTAAAGAAGAGTGGGTATACTATATGTTTATTCGGTCATAAATGTAAAAGTCTGTTGACTGAAGACAGGAATATTTCAGCTAAATGTTAGGAAGAATTTTAACTAGAGTTGCATACAAAGCAGGAGCTCTCAACTGCTAAGTTGTCCCTTTCTGTGGGGTGGGGGGCATATTCCATACTTGGTCCTGTTCAGGACTTAATTCTGGATCAGTTCTCAGAGATCACTCCAGTCAGTGCTCAGGAGACCATAAAAGTGGGTGCATGCCAGGCAAACTCCCTATGCTTTACCCACTGCGCCAGGAAATTTACAAGTCATTTCCCCCAAGATTAAGCAGAAACAATCTAGCTAAACAGGTAGTTCAATCAGATCAATTAAATCTATGCTAGTAGATCTCAAACTACGCTAAGAAACACTTAAAAAATTCTGGTTCCAGGTTGGAAACTTCCCCCCAACTAAACTACGGGACCTAAGTACCACTTGGAATTCCCTCCCCACTCCCCACCTCCCCCCCAAAAAGCAGTATTGGAGAGATAGTAAAATGGATAAGGTACTTGCCTTTTGTACAACTAACCTAGGATTGATGCCTGGCATCACTTATGGTCCCTGAATACCACCAGAAATTATCTCTAAACACAGCAGACAGGGCTCCAAAAAGAAAATCCAATGTGGTGGTATAATTCTGTATACATTTTCTTTTTGGTAAAAGTTTACAAAACACAAATGTGACATTTGTTATTTTGTGACACTGAAATGTCAAATTACGGTTTCTAAGAGCTTACTTTTTTTTTTATTGAATCACCGTGATACACAGTACAAAGCTTTCATGATTGAGTTTCAGTCATACGATGATACAACACCCATCCCTCCACCAGTGTAGTGTTCTTAACCACCAATGTCCCAAGTATTCCCCCCGCTACCACCACTCCACGCCGCCCCCTGCCTCCATGGCAGGCACTTTCTTCTTACTCTCTCTTATTCTCTTACTCTTTGGGCATTCTGGTTTATAATACAGATACTGAGAGGTCATCATGTTTGATCCTTTGTCTACTGTCAGTACACATCTCCCATTCCAAGCGATCCCTCCAACCAGCACTGACTTAATGGTCCCTTCTCGATCCCAACTGTCTAAAGGCTTACTTTTAATTTCAATTTTTAGCACAGTCAGGTAACACACTGTGTCCTGAAATACAATTCGAGTATCACAGAATTAAAAAGCCTTTAAGAGAACTCTGAGATTCTACAGTTTTTCAAATTTACCTCACTGTCCTCCTTTCATTGAATATTAATATCAAACCAGTAATTGCTTAACAACTAACCTTTTCTATAGCAATTAAAAAAGCATATTCTTAGAAGTTATGTCTGAAAGCATGAGATCAAAGACCTCAAATTTCTTACAGCATTCATGTTTTATCTCACTAAATTAAAATGTCAAACTTTTATTTTTTACCAAAACCATATCTGAATGCTCATTTTAAAAACTGGATACAAAAAGTTAATTTTTAGCCATTTCTCACACCTAATCTTCTGGTGTCACTTTCTTTGCACAAGCTGATAATGAAATGTGTAACAAATTATAGTTGATCACACATTTGAAGTTCTTACTTTGTTTTACCAATGGGTAGAAACAAAAACAGAAACATAACTGTGCTGATATACTGGGATAGAAAGAACATTTAAGAATTTCAAGAGCACCTGATAAAAAATTAAAATTTTTGCAGCCACTTGAAGTACTCAATGGTGACCCAAACAAAGCAAATATGAATTTAAAAAAAAGGTTTCTTATACAAAAATGACATTTCTCACCCCTAAATGCTTCGGATTTTCTCTAAGAACAATGAGGCATGTGCTTTATCTTCTTTTCACTAAAAAACAAACAAACAAAAAAAAAACACAAAAAAAAACCCCACAAATTTCTTAACAACATTTCTTAGGAGTTACCATCTCCCAAATTCACCAGACACAAAGTTTTAACTCAGTAGTAGCAATGTTTTTTTTCTTTTTAATTTACCATAATTTTATAAGAAGGAGCTTTGAGCTCTGAGGTTTCAGGTAGTCTATAAACTCTGAAACACCAAGGTCTTTTTCTTGTTTAAATGTGCCCACAGATATCTGCAACACTTTTCGTTTTGCTTGGGGTCATACCCAACTTATAAGCAGGGCTTACTCAGGCTCCATGCTCACTTCGGCTTTGTGCTCAGGGGTAATCTCCTGGCAGTGCTCATGGTAACACCATGATACAGTACTAGGGTAGAACCCATATCAGTCATGTGCAAATCAAGTACTCTTATACCATCTCTCCAACCCATATCAATGCATTCTTAAGAGGGTGTCACTGTCACTGTCCTGTTGTTCATCGATTTGCTTGAGCGGGCCCAGTAACGTCTCCATTGTGACACTTGTTACTGTGTTTGGCATATCGAATACGTCACAGGTAGCTTGCCAGGTTTTGCCATGCGGCGAGATACTCTCGGTAGCTTGCCGGGCAATCCGAGAGGGGCGGAGGAATTGAACCTGGGTTGGCCAGAGGGTGTAATAATCCAAAAAGATTAAAAGCACCTTTCTTACAGCAAAAATGTGAATGAATGTGAATATAAAGAACAGTATTCATTAATAGACCAATAAACCTAATACTTGTATCATATGACAAAAAGGTTATTAAAAATAATCCTTTGGGACCAGAGAAATAGTACTCCATGTAGAGCACTTGCCTTGCACGCAGCTTACCTGAGTTTGATCCTTGTCATCCCATATGGTCCTCCAAGCACTGCCAGGAGTAATTCCTGAGTGCAGAGCCAGGAGTAACACCTGAGTATTGCTGGGTGTGGCCCACAAAAACAAAAAAATAAAAACAATCCTTTTAGAAACCATAGCGATAGTGCAGTAGGTAGAGCACTTGCCTGGCACATGGCCAACCCAGGTTTGATCTCCGGTATCCCATGTGGTCCCCCATGTGGTCCCCCAAGACCATCGGGAGTGATCCCTGAATACAGAGCCAGAGCCAGAGCATGAGCACCACCAGGTGTGGCCCCAAAACACTGAAACAAAAACGGACAAACAAAACCCACAAAAACACACACAAAAAATGCCAGTCCTTTTATAGATAATGAAATGGACATTTAGAGAAAGTTAAGGGGGTTAAAGGCTACACTACTAGCTAGAAGGCAGAAACACAATAAAGGCAGTCAACAACAATGTATCTATAGATATACAAACTCAGAATAAATCAAGATATAATTTTAGGTAATATGGGCTCAAATTATCAAATGTTTTCTTTTATATAATAAAGGAATCTAAAAATACAAATTTCTTTTAGAACTTGCTTCCCCGCCAGCAGGCATAATCACAACCTGTCAATCATCTGAAAGACAGGAGTGCTTGATCCTAAGCAATCAATGATAGAAGGGCAAATACTTAACCTGGAAGGGACAAAGGAAGTTTAGAAGACAGAGGGCTTCAAGGAGGCACTTAAACACATTTCCTTCTGAGTCAATTACTCTAAAAGCCATAATACAAAGAAAATTAGTAGAGCGCTCTTTCTGTAACTGTTGAAGCATCTTAAATATTTTAAGCAAAACCTTTTCTCAAAGATGATTCTCTTGTTTATTCACAGTAATAAACAGCAAATGCAAAAACACAAAGGAGATGATGTTTAGTAAGAATTTTCATAGTAACTAATTAAGTGAGAAAGCACACCCTATTTTGGTATAAGGATGAGAAGGAATCCAAAATTTGCTTAATTTTTTTTCAGAATGAGAAAACCGAAGATCCATAAATAAGAATTAAAAAAACTCTTCACTCTCCACTCCCACCCCTTGACTTTTAAAATACAATGCAACTTTCTACCATCTGTTATTTTAGAGAAGAGACAGTAATGAACATATGGGCTTTCTCTTTCAAGCAGCTGTAGTGTAGTTAAAGTTATAATAATTGTCTTTCTATAAGATAAATTTACATTAAAAACCTGGTCAGTTAAAAACAAGCAGCCCAGTCTCAGACCGTTCCAGAATAAAAGAAATTCAGAATCATCTGTGACATATTATAGATTTAGAAGGTATCTTTTAAAAACTTGTTTCTGTGTTTAAGGTTAACAAAATATAACTCAGAATTTAGTTTATCTAAGAAACCCTCATATCATGTTTTGTTCCTCAATCACAAACAGTGGTTACAAACTTGTATATAAAAGTCAGAACCTAAATACAATAACTACAGAAATTAGCACCTAAGTTCTTAGAAGTTGATGACCTATATCCACTACTGTTATAATTCACTGAACTCCAATCTAAAGACTCATTTATTTATAATTGACTCATTTATTTCTTATAAGAAAATCAGAATACTTATAACAAAATCAGCACATAAGTTTCTATCTCAATCATATATCACTTATAATTAGTCTAAATAAACTGAAATAAATCAGGGAACTCAGATAACATGAAAAACAGAAATTTTATCTACCTTTATCTGGATGATTTAAAATCATGATTCTCTTGTGAGCTGCTCTAATCTTGGCCTTACCAGCAGATGGGCTGTAACAGAAAAAAAAAAATTAAAGTGCCTATAATAAATGGTATATATTTATAAGCTAAAAATTTATGTGATTTCAAGAAATTAAAAACTAATGAGCATTTCACCCTCTTGTGGATAAATATGAAACTACAGCTTACCCCTTTAATTCTACCAAACACCAAAATAAACTATCACTCAATATATTTTAGCGGGTCTGAGTAGCTTCAGGTACTTGTGGACACAAGGAAGAATAGCATGCTGACCACCAGATGATCAACACTTGAGTGTTAAATCTCTCTAGAGATACGTATGCATATACAAACACATATATACACGCATACACACATACATGTATGCACATATATGTGCGTGTGTGTGTGTATATATATATCTGTATATATATCTGTGTAAACACTCATAGGTATATATATATTCATGGACTAACTCTTTAATGGAATTGACAACAATAGTAGTAGTCGCAAAACCCCAACTGTAAAACTTCAAGTACAATAATAGCAACCAACTACATGGTAACCTGAGCTTTTATGTATTACTGTATCTCTCTATTTACCGGTTTCTGTTATCTGATTGGTAACACACTATATAAATGAGGATTTGTGGAACTGACGAATCAGATAGATAATGCAAATTCTAGATCTTGATTACCTGGCTCCTCCCTCATCGATTCCTATATAACAAATACTACTTGCATTTTACTTTAGTCCTTTGTAGTATCAGTCCTTGTTCTCAATCAACTTAAAAAATTAAAACAATATATAGGGTGGGACAGTACATCTGTGAACTATAATAGACATTTGATACTTTGAGCGATAGCACAGCAGGTAGGGCGTTTGCCTTGCACGCAGACGACACCGCCGACCTGAGTTCAATTCCTCTGCCCCTCTCAGAGAGCCTGGCAAGCAACCGAAAGTATCTCACCCACACGGCAAAGCCTGGCAAGCTACCCGTGATTCACAGAGAGCAAGACTTTTTTTTTTTCCCCGATAAGCCAAACATAATAACAACAAGTCTCACAATGGAGACATTACTGGGCCCACTCGAGCAAATCGATGAACAATGGGAGGACAGTGAAAATGACAGTGGATCCTTCGAGTTATTTGGGGGGAGAGTTATATAGTCATAGGTAAATAGGTACTTGGTCTCCAGAGTTACCAGACTGCCCAGCTTTGCAAACAGGATTGGGTAATCTTAGTCAAATTTCTAAGCAACTATTTTGTCAGTTTTCTCACTGAAAAGCAAGAATAGAAAAAACTGATTCACAGAGAGCAAGACTTTTTTTTTCTAATTTTTATTAGTGAAACACCATGAGGTTGTAGCCTTACAAATTCCTGTGCTTGGGTTTCAGTTATACAATGATCTAGTACCCATCCCTCCACCAGTGCCCATTCTCCACCACAAATGATCCCAGTATCCCTCCCATCCCCCCGCCCCCGCCTCTGTGGCAGGGCATTCCTTTTTATTTTCTCTCCTCTTGGGTGCTGTGGTTTGCAAAAGAGGCATTGAGTGGCAATCATGTTCGGTCTATTAACTACGTTCAGCATGCATCTCCCATCTTGGGAGGATCCTCCCAACACCCTTTACTTGGTGCTCCCTTCTCTAGCTGAGCTGCCTTTTCCCCTAGAATGGAGAGCAACACTTTCTTTCTATTTGGAGAAGCCCATGTTCTGTCTTGAACATGTATCTCTCTCTCTTGTTCTCTTCACACATCTCTGAACTTCTTTCAATAAAACTACCCCCAGGAAAGAATTGTTTGAGGGGGCACAAGTCATTAAATTAATTCATTTAAGTAACAATGATCTAATTTCCTAATGTCATATATTTATACACATTCTGCAGACTCAAATGCATGTATCTTTTGGGAAAACGAGTCTTGCTCTGACCACCACTTTTTTCCCCCCAAGAAAAGAATTTATATGTAAATTCATTTGTGCAACAGAAACAAGCATTATTTCTATTTTATGACTGATAAAAGAGGTAATATGGTCAGTAGTAAAATTGGTATTCACCCAGACTTACTTGTTGTCAAAGTCTATGCTTACATTTTACTTGTCAAATTTTGCTGTTTCCAATGTGATCAAGTTTCCATCCTTCTATCTTTAAGTTAGCACCTAATTATCTTTCCTAATAGGAGAGCATTGGATGATATTGTCTATCTGTCCTCGCGTAGTTCATCGATTTTGCTCGAGCGGGCCCAGTAACATCTCCATTTTGAGACCTTTTGTTACTGTGTTTGGCATATCGAATATGTCACAGGTAGCTTGCCAGGCTTTGCCGTGCGGCGAGATACTCTCAGTAGCTTGCCGGGCAATCTGAGAGGGGTAGAGGAATCGAACCCAGCTCGGCCGGGCTGGCTGCGTGCAAGGCAAATGCCCTATTGCTGTGCTATCGATCCAGTCTACTATGGTGACAATAAATAACATCTCAAACACCTTTGCTTGAATTGTCATGCTTTAAATTCACATTTTTAGACTAAAAGAGCAGTTATAAGGTGGGGGATCTGATCAAACAACAATGCCATTTGGAAAAACACTAAAGGAAAGTTGGGAATAGTTTTCTTTCTAACTTGGTTCCCCTGCTTATAAAAATCATTTCCATTTTTTGTATTCCACAAGAGATCTCATTTCTTGTGATACTTAATTAAAGCACAAAAGCTAAATTGAGCAGTTTCCCCGGCTCCACATTGCCACATCTACCTTTTTTTCTTGTTAAATTACCAGATATACCCTGTTGCACCTTAAGAATCTGCTAATCCAGAAGAGATTAAAAAAAAAAAAAAGGAATTGTCAACATCCCTGGCTCTATTCAGAACAGAAGTAGATCCCCTCCTTCTGGCTAGGTCCCAGTAGCCGTCACATCTGACCTCCATCATATTAATAGGCACAGCACCACAACTCCTGAAATGCGCAGTTGCATACAGATCTATTCAGCAAATTCCACACTGCTCGATTATACTTTCTGTCACTAAGTGAAGACAGGCAGTGAAGGAAGAGAGCAATGCATAGCCTAATCCCTCAGAATATCCCAGGGGTCTAACTACACAGAGTCAGCCTCAGCACAGCAGGAACAGTGGAAAACCAATGGAGAAACCTCATGGGAAACCCATTAAACTAAAGGAATGAAAACAGTAATGGGAGGCACAACCAATACCACCCAGACCTGTAAATCGGCAGAAAATGACTTTCATGACACAAGGATGAAGATGTTAATGACACCCAAAAAATGAGTCACAGGTAGTCAGCAAAGTACAAGAAAATGTGAGAGCCAAAATGAGACCTGCAAGTAGAAATGAAAAGAAAATGGAAGAGTGTGGTAGATGATACAAAAAATTCATCTGAAGTTCTAAGCAGCAGAATAACAATAGTTTAGAAAAATGTGGAGATGCTCCAAGATGAAATGGAAGAAACCTCTAGAAAACAACAAAAGATGGAAATAAGTGAAAAGAAAAGACACCACACCAGAGAACTATGGAACGGGAGCAAAAGGAACAAAATAAGAATCATCAGAGTCCCTGAATCAGGAAGGCACATTGATGAAGAACGAACAGTTTTAAAAAATCATAGCTAAGAGCTCTCAGAATTATCTTGGTTCTCTTCAGTCTTATTAAATTTTACATTTGTAGGGTTTATCTATTTCATGTAAACTCTAAAATGCATTGCACAGAATTGTCCGCAATATTAATTATTTAAATGTATATACCTCTAAGAAATACATTTTTTTAAAAAAATTTACTTCATCAACTTATCACTGATTTACAATTCTGTGGAAATTCAAGAGATGAGTTCTATTCATCTAAATGGGTGTGTCACCACTTCCACATAACAGAGAGAGAGAGAGAGAGAGAGAGAGAGAGAGAGAGAGAGAGAGAATAGAGAAGCAAATGATCACAGTCTTCGGAACTTAAGATTCTACTGAATAGAGCTTACATGGCAGGAGTGGACGGGGGTTGGGAGGGCCCTAGGGACCTTGGCAGAGGGAAGAGGGCTCTTAATGTGATGATGACTCTGATGCTGGAATGACGTGTGCATGAAAAACATGATTAGTAGTATTGAAATCCCAGTCTCTCAGTAAAAATAGCCAAGAAAATCAAATTTTTTTAAATGTATATTATGTCTCATGGAATTAAAATAATTCCCATCAAAAGTCTTCTTAGCTATGTTGATTAAATCAGCAGAAGATAACCAGACTCTACAAAAATTTTAGTGAACAAATGAAAATATTACTATTGGTAAGTCTAATAACAGATGTCTTAATGTAAGTATTAAATGATAAAACATACACACACATATACACACACATATTAACTTTCTAATGACCAGAGTTAGATAACAAATAAGGTAAAACAAACAAAATTCTATATGTTAAATTGTAAAATTAGAAAAGAATCATGAAGCAAATCCTTTAATTTAAAAGACGATTCAGACAACTTACAGAACTGGATTCAAGATGAATCCATTTCAAATAAGGAATACTTTGAAATTGCACTATTCAAATATAATAGCCCTTTTTAATAGAATAAATACCACAACTTTGATTTTTTTTAGGAGTAACGAGACTGTCTCTTAAATCTGAAATGTTAAAATTAATTTTCTCCTCTTCCATTCATAATCTTAAAATATAAGGATAAGTGTATCATGATATTTTTCCACTTTTCAAGACAAAGACAGAACAAAATAATATTTATGCAGAATACATACCTTATACCCAAAATAAGACTAGCTTCTCTCCGACTCATTTTTTGTTCAAATCCTCCTTTATAGTAGGATGAAAGACTCTGCACAGAAAAGAAAAAAAAGAAATAATTAGTTCCACATATTAGGTGCATGACCTCAATCTCATCACATAGCTGCAGTCACAGAAATGCCTTTTATTAAAAGTCAGCTTGAAATTATGGGGGGAGTGGGTGATCCACAGGGGAAGTATTAAGTATTAAACAATGATATATTACAAAATACAAAGATACAATGACCAAGAGGAAAACTTTTAAACTACTAACAATTTCTCACCTTCAGATATATTAATTTTTCTACACTGAGATATAATTATGACCAAAAAAATAAGAGACTGGTGGAAACAAAAAGTTAAACTTTTTTTCTTAAGCTCTGCAGTAATTTTTTTTCATTGACCTTGAACAAATCACTTAATGTTAATACTAATACAAGCATAAAACAGACATCTGTTTGACCTAATAGACTAGCTGAAAAGAGCTGACAAAGTGTGGAGGACATCAGGACAGTAGATGTCTGGACCAAGAGACAATAAGAAACTAGACAATAAGAAACTACACCTTTCCGGGGTAGTCTCCTAACAAATGATTGGCAATGGAGTTATGAACACTGCAGTTCTAGAACTTTCAGTCCCTGGATTTCTTATCTCTCTATTCAAGCTCCAGGACTCCCCAGGTAGATGGCTGAGGACATGGTTAAAACTGTACTATGGTCCAAATTATACTTCAAGCCTTCCTTCTTTTCTTACATTCTGGAGTCACTGATCCTAACACTCCTCAACCACTTACAGCTGGTTCTTAAATCTGCTTTCTAGAGAATTTAAACTGCAAATGACTTCAAGGCTTCTGGCCTAGACTACCATACTGCCATTTAATAACTTAGAGAACAACCGGTGGATTGTTCCAGGTAACAGAAACCAGAAACTGGTGTGAGATACATTAAATTTGAAATGGGAAAGTCTGAGCTGGAGATAACATTTGGGATTATCTAAAGACAAAAGACTGAGATCATTTTGCTTAGTACAAAGACTGAGACTCAGAGACTGCAATGTTTGGTGGTATAAAAATTGAGAAGAATCCGTTCAAGAAATGCAGAGAGCCCAGGAATGAAGCAGGCGTATAAAGAAGAGATCAAAAGTAAGGAAGTAAAAAATACAAGTGCTTTTGGTAGGTCAAGCTAACACATGAGCTGAAAATTTACCACCAGTTATATCAAAAAGATCAAAGACTAACAAAAGCTGAAGGAAGTAGGAAGGAGAATCTGATAAAAATGGATTTCCGAAAGTGTCCAACAACAGAGGAGTGAATAATCTTAGCCACTAAGGGTTAAGAAAGAGAGCTGTGAGCCTGGAATCCATCAGATTGTGTGTTAGTGGTAGGTTCCAAGAGAAGGAAATGGAAGTGCCAGCAAATCACATTTTGGAATCAAAAATGGCAGGAAAGGGAGTAGTTATAACAGTTACATCAAGAAACTAAATATACATAGTACTCAGTAATAAGTGGGTGAAAACCACTACTTTAAGCAGTATTCCAACAAAATGGGGAGTGGGGGGGAAGAAGTATGAAGAAAACAAAGATGAGATTTAAGACCAAGATGATGGTTAAATGTAAAAGCAACACATAAAAATTGAAGGAAAAATGAAAAGAGAACCCTTAGGAACTAGTATTTTGAACATTCCACTTTGTGTGACATAACATGTTTATGGTCCCTACTTTTCATAACTCTATTTTATTTCATCCAGCATCATATTTACAAAACCAAAACATGCTGTTTATAAAGCCAAACTCTTTAGAATCAGTAGTGCCAAGAGACACTTTCATTTCTGTTTCCCAGGAATGATTAATATTTAAAGAACTGCTCAAAAACTCAGCTTCACTGAAGTATAATTATGATAAAGGCATTCTAAGATGTTTCACTGCAAATCCAAGAGTAGTACTTTGTGAAATGGAAGACACTATTTTTTGAAAGCGATGTTTCTTAACTTGAAGTTCACAGAGAAAAGGAAAGGAGATTCGCCCTCTCCTCTCTGGAAAAAAAGATGGTGGCCGCATGGGAGCCTTGTGGAGAGCAGGTCTGAGCTGGGGGTGGGGGTGCGATGGATACTTCATGAGACGGGGGGGAGGGGCATTCCGGCCTGTCCTTCACACCCTACCGAGGTCACCAGTTACCCCCCACGAGCGGCTCTCTGGCAGGGCCACGACCCCAGAAGCACAGAGACCAATCTCTTAATTACCTGACTCTCAGTAGAAATACTTGCAGGGTTAATAAATAAAATAGCAGAAATCCAAAACCGCACAGCCACAATAGCGACATCATTTAATTCTTGAACCCAGCTGTAGAAAGCAAATCATTTCACAATGCTTTTTCAGCATGGCTGATTTGGGGGGGGGGGGGGAAGTCTAAATAATAATGGTGCAACTTTTATCAAAACAATGAAACTAGTCAAAGTAGACAGAGTGTTAACTATAATTCATCTACCCCACAGACATTGGGGGGGGGGGGGTGGTTTGGGGAGGGCTTATTGGGATTCTTCGTGGTGAAAAATCAGTACTGGTAAAGGGAAATGTGATTGATATTTGCATGACCGAGACCTAAACCTGAAAGCTTTGTAACTTTTCCCACAGCGATTCAATAAATAAATTAATAAAAAAAAAAAAAAAAAAAAGAAAAGGAAAGGAGGGAACTGCATCATTTTCCTCTCCAAGAAATGCAGATGCCAGGTCCACCTTACATGGGACAATCACTCAAACCCCTTATCTACAAGCCTCCACAGAGCAGTGAAAATGCTCTCATTCTTTTGCTCTCGCTTCCTTTACAATGTTAAATAATACAGTGTAAATGATTTTACTAAGGATCACCATAACAGAAGAAAATGATTCCTAAAATTATTTCTTATTTATTAGAAAATGAAAGGATAGAAGTAACATTCACTTAAAGAACTATGCCAGGATTTCCACGGCTATTGATTACTCTATTTCAAGCCCCCATCATCTATTATCTGCTGTTTCTCAATACCTTCTTTAGCACACTCAGACTGCTACTCTGGCTCACTCTGTTCAGTACCTGCTGCAGTTGACACACTCGTCATCTGCAAATCACACTGCCCCATGCTCAGAACCCTCCAGAGGCTTTTCACAGAAAGTAAAATCTGATGCTTTTATTGGCCAATTAGGCCCAATGTGCTCTAGGCCCAAACTAACGCTACTTCCGTCCTTCAACATATTTCTGTATAGCCACCGGTGTTAACTCTTGCTGCCAAGTTCACTTCCACCTTAGGACATGTGCAGCCCTCACAGGGCGTAACACATATTTTACTTCCGCTGCTTGTGCAGCCAATCCTCTCCTTTCTAAGAGTTGCCCTTCCCTGGCCGATCTAACAGTATCCTCTCTGCTGTGGCTGTTCTTTACCTCTAAACTATTCGAATATGATTAACCAACAATCTTCCTTGTTCATTTGCAGAGCTTCTTGTTTCTATTAAAATGTATATTCCTAGAGGAGAACGACCCACACCCCACAAAATGGCACACAGAGGTAGTTAATGAATATTTAGTGGATGAATACTAAAGAGCTATCAATAATTTAACCAAATGAAACAAAATTAAAAACATACAAAATAAACACATGCTCCCTCTAATCACAGACATGCACTTACAGGTCTGCAAAATTACCTGCAATTTTTTTGAACCTAAGTTTAATTATGTGCCAGTATGCCATCCTTTGCTGATGTATAATTGACCAGTGACCTCAAGTATGGCCATTGGTCATGGATAATTAAGCTTTGCAAGCCTATAATGTGTTTGCTGAAATAAGTGATTCAATCTTAAACTAGATAGGTTGGTACAAGCCAACCTTCTATTCCAGACATGCCTCTATTTTCAGAAGTCAATGTTTCTTTTACACTGCCACAATGGTTTTTCTTTGCATTGTCTCCAGTGGTCACAAAAGCACAGTTCATCACACTGCAGCTTTTCAGGCACCTGGTATCATTCATTCTTGACTTATATTCAGCTCGGCAGAGAAGCTGCAAGAAGAATGCATTAAGTCCAACAGAATTTTAGGGTTGAGATCTTATAATGTTATGTTTGGAAAGGCCGGATACGGCTATACAAGGAAACTAGCTTCAAATTTCAAGCTAAAATAAGCTCTTGGGAAAGCTCTATCAGGGCAGGAATGTTCTGTAGCAGCTATGCCTATATCATGGCCAGAGACTGATATATGGTAGACAATCATTAAATAAATAAATGTGTATGAACTAGCACTGCACTGTACACTGTCGTCTCTGCGTTCATCGATTTGCTTGAGCAGGCACCAGTAATGTCTCCATTGTGAGATTTGTTGTTACTGTTTTTGGCATATTGAATACACCACGGGGAGCTTGCCAGGCTCTGCCATGTGGGCAGGATATTCTGGGTAGCTTGCCAGGCTCTCCGAAAGGGATAGAGGAATCGAACCTGGGTTGACCGTGTGCAAGGCAAATGCCCTACCCACTGTGCTATCATTCCAGCCAGCATATGAAATAAGAAAGAAAACTTAATGGTCTTAAAAATGGATATAATGCTATAAAAGAAATAGGATAATTCGATGTCAATATCAGGAATAAGGTTAGATATAGAAAGAATATGATCAGAGGCTGAAGAGTTAGTACAGTGGATAGGGCACTTGCATTGTACACAGCAGACCCGTGTTCAGTCCCTGGCACCACATATGAATCCTTGGGCCCTGGCAGGAGTAATCCTTGAGCACTGCTGGGAGTGGTCCCCCCAAAATAACAACAACAAAGGAAATAATGTGACCACCAAAAGGTAAAAGGTAAAGGCCCTCCCGTTGATCGTCGATTTGCTCGAGCAGGCCCAGTAACGTCTCCATTGGAGACTTTGTTGTTACTGTGTCTGGCATATCGAATACTCTCGGTAGCTTGCCAGGCTCTCCGAGAGGGGCGGAGGAATCGAACTCGGGTCGGCCATGTTGGCCGCTTGTAAGGCAAACGCCCTACCCACTGTGCTATCGCTCCAGCCCTTTAAAGGTAAAGGCCCTCCCGTTGATCGTCGATTTGCTCGAGCGGGCCCAGTAACGTCTCTATTGGAGACTTTGTTGTTACTGTGTCTGGCATATCGAATACTCTCGGTAGCTTGCCGGGCTCTCCGAGAGGGGCGGAGGAATCGAACTCGGGTCAGCCATGTTGGCTGCGTGCAAGGCGAACGCCCTACCGCTGTGCTATCGCTCCAGCCCTCGTGACCACCAAAAATTTAAACTAAATCAATATATGAGCTTTATAACTAAAAGCACCTTTAACTTACAGGAGTTGAAATCTTCTTTGCAGTTTCTGTGATTACTTGTTCTAGAGGTTTCCAAACCTGAAATGCATAGCGACCTTAGAAAGGAACAAGAATAAAATCATTGTTAATACCCACCAGAAACTCGAATGGTGAAGGAATGGGAGTTGGACTATATTATGACTGAAACCCAATCATGAACAACTTTGTACTTTGTAACTGCATATCTCATGGTGATGCAACAAAAAAAAATTCAGTTTTACAAAAGAAATTTAAAAACACTAATAACGATAAAATGTTCCAGTCACAATTTTTAATTTTCTTTTTTGGGTCACACCCAGCGATGCACAGGAGTTACTCCTGGCTCTGCACTCAGTGCTCAGAGGACCATATGGGATGCTGGGAATCAAACCCGGGTCGGCCGAGTGCAAGGCAAACGCCTACCCGTTGTACTATCTCTCCAGTCCCAATAATTTTTAATTTTTAAAGGAAAGCCAGAATGTTGTTGAAGTATCATCAACATATCTATTAGATCTATCAAATTCTAGCTAAAGATTATCAAATTAGAAATTTCCATTACATATAAATTATATATATATTGTATAGCTTATGTATATAATAGATACAGAAAATAACATTCTGTAACAAACTGTGGGCTGGAGCAATAACACAACGGGTAGGACATTTGCCTTGCACTCGGCCGACCCGTGTTCAATTCCTCCGCCCCTCTCAGAGAGCCCGGCCAGCTACTGAGAGTATCTCGCTCACAAGGCAAAGCCTGGCAAGCTACCCGTGACGTATTCGATATTCTAGAAACAGTAACAACAACTCTCACAATTTGTTGTGAGACATTACTAGTGACTGCTCGAGCAAATTGATGAACAACAAGAGGACAGTGCTAACAAACTGTAGCTAAATTATTTTCATATAAAGATATACATGAATGAAAATAATTATTCACTGAATCTCAAATCAACACTTGTGTTTCATTTTGATTTGGGGGCCAGGAGGGTTTAAGCCACACTTAGCTGTAGGCCTAGGGATCACTCCTGAAGTGCTCAGAGAACCATAATTGGTGCTGGGGACTGACCCAGGGTTGGTCACATGCAAAACAAAAACTATAATCCCTTGTACTGTCTCTCAGGCCTAGGATACTTTTCACTTTGAAAAATATAGAAAAAAGAATCACTTAATCACTTAATCCCCGTTATTCATCGATTTATTCGAGCGGGTGCCAGTAACATCTCCATTCATCCCGGTTGCGTGCTAGCGTAGCCCAATGGTATCTGTACGCTCTAGGAACATGCAGAGCCTCAAACCGATCATTTAGGTTCTTGACGAAGAAGTCTGACCATCTTATAGGTGGGCGTCCACGTGATCTTTTGATGTCCCGTGGAATCCAATCAGTAATGGCTCTAGTCCAGCGGTTGTATGTAAACCTCATTACGTGTCCAGCCCATCTGATTTTTGATGTCTTGGCAAATGAGACAGCGTCCCTGATTCTTGAGCGTTGACGAAGATCAGAACTCCGGATTCTATCTCTCATTTGAGTGAATCGTGATATTCCAAGCATAGTTCTTTCGATTCCTCTTTGAGAGACCCGAATAGTGTTCTCATCCTGTTTTCGTAGGGTCCAGGTCTCTGAGGCATATGTTAATGCAGGAAGAATAGTGGAATCAAAGAGATGTGCTCGTAGCTGGAGGTTCTTTGTCCTTTTAGTTATTTCTTCAATGCTCTTGAAGGCATTCCAAGCCGCTCTCTTCCTCCTGCGCAACTCAGGTGCCAGGTCATTCATCATGTTGATTTCTCAACCTAGGTATATATAACTGTTGCATTCGGAGATGGTGGTTCCATTGAGAGCGAATGGAGCGTCAGGAACAAGGTTGTTTCTCATAAACATTGTCTTCGTAAGATTCAGCTGTAGACCAACCTTTCCACACTCATGGTCATAGTCGTTCAGCATTTGTGCCGCTTGGGTGATGTTTGGTGTTATTAGAACGATGTCATCAGCAAAGCGGAGGTGGTGTAGTTGCCGACCATCTATCTTCACTCCCATGTTCTCCCATTCCAGTCGTCGCATGATGTTCTCGAGGGTGGCACTGAAGAGTTTTGGTGAAATGGTATCACCCTGCCGAACCCCTCTCTTGATATGGATGATTACTTCTTTATAGAATGGTGAGATCTTGGTAGTGAATCCGCAATAGAGCTCACGAAGGATCCTGATGTATTGAGTTTGTACGCCCTGATTGGCTAGGGCTTCCATGACCGCTTCCGTCTCAACAGAATCAAAGGCCTTTTTTTAAATCAATGAACGTTAGACAGAGCGGCATCTTGAACTCCCGAGATACCTCAATGAGCTTGGTTATTGTGTGGATATGGTCGATGGTACTGAATCCTTTTTGGAATCCAGCTTGTTCACATGGTTGTCCTTCATCTAGTGTTCTGCTAATCCTATTCAGGATGACTCGAGTGAATAGTTTGTAGATGACAGACAATAGGCAGATTGGGCGATAGTTGCCAATGTCATGGATGTCTCCTTTCTTGAATAGTAGTACAGTCCTCCTGGTTTTCCATTGGGATGGAACCTTGCATTCAGACAGGTAGCGTGTGAAGAGTCGAGCCAATGTATTGATGAGTACTGATGGTAAGTTCTTCAGGTGTTCAGGGCTGATCTTGTCTGGGTCAGGTGCTCTTTGTTTCTTTACCGACGAGATGGCATGTTGGATTTCAGAAGGGAGAACATTGGGAACGACATATCCATCATGTGGTATGTGGTATGTGGGCAAGTGGATGTGGCTATTAAAGAGATCTGAGTAGAAGTCATGAATAATCTTCTCCATTGCCCTTCTGGAAGATGTGATAGATCCATCATGATGTCGGAGGGCAGTCATCTTGGTTTTGTAGTTGGTGAAGGACAGGCGGGCATTACGAATGTTTTTCCCAGCTTCTGCTGCATCTATCAGTACTGCTGCTCTCCTGTTTTTGAGGTCATCCTTGATGGCTTCTCTGCACTGTTTTGCCAGTTCGGATGTTCGTTTGTGGTTGCCTGAGGCATGTGCCAAGCCACGTTGGCGAATAAGTTCAAGAGTGTTCGAAGAAAGACGGTTTTTTGTGGTTAACTCTTTCTTGGCATTCCTTGTACAATCATGGAGGTGCTGAATCATTCGATCGTATTCCTCATCAATGTTGTCAATGTCGGCATCTTCCCATGTTGTCGCAATAGAGCCAAAGAGCTCCCAGTTGGTGGTTGTTCTGGGAGTCCTCTTCTTAAATCTTGCATTTTTTGTTCTGTGAGGTAGAATTTTGCACGAAGAAGACGGTGGTCTGATCCCGTTTGGAATTTTGGGACAACAGCAACATTGGTTAGGCAAAACCGCCGATTGAATATGATGTGGTCTATTTCACTGTGGAACCGTCCATCGGGAGACTCCCATGTCCAACGTTTAGATTCAGCCTTTTGGAATTGTGAGTTACCATGGAAGGTTTTGGTTGACATGATGAACTCAGACAGTCTGTCACCCTGTTCGTTCCATTCCAGGCCATGGGTTCCGATGTGGAGTTCATCGACTGATCTTCTTGGTCCTATCTTGGCATTAAAATCACCGACAATGATCTTGTAGAAGGTGTGATCTTCTTTATAGAACTTCTCCAGCTCCATGTAGAATTTCTCAGTTTCTCTTTCACCATAACTGGATGTTGGTGCATAGACAACAAAGATAGAAACTGCCGGTAGTGAGCCACATTTATTCAAGTGTAATCATCCGATTCGGGTTGTTAGGCATTCGAATGAATCAATGCTCTTGACTAAGTTTGTGTTGACAAGGATACCGACACCACCGACGCCTCTTTTATCACATGTTCCAAGGAACAGTTCTTCTCCAGTGTCGAAAACAGCATGATGGGATTGATGTCTTCTCGTTTCGGTCAGACCAATGATGTCGTACTTGATTTTTCGTGCTTGTACCATAAGGTCTTCAATGGATGCAGCAGATGCCAGCATACGAGCATTAAAAGTACAGACAATCATTTTTGTTTTTCTGCATTTTGGCAGCCTATGTCTGCCTTGGTGTTTTATCAGCCTCTCCTTCCATATCCTTCTCGACTCTGCATATTCAGGGTTAGGGAAATGAGATCCATTTATTACTGGATTTGGCATATCAATTTGGTCTATTTGGCATAGACCTCGGATAGCTTGCCAGGCTCTGCCGTGCGGGTTGGATATTTAAGGTACCCTGAAAACTTAGAGAAAAGTAAATAAATAGTCGCGTGGCCGCAAATGCGGCCGCACGCTCCCGGGAGCTTGTTGTGATAATCTCTGGATCCTGGCCGTTGTTGGGGTTACATGGCAGTTGGAGGGTGTAACTGTCTAGCTACTGACAGGTCCAGTCCCAAACCGTGCAGGCTTGGAGATCTCAGCCCCGGGTCTCACACACACGCACAAAATTATAAAATATTGTTTATAATCTATACAACATAGGAGTGACTTAAGGGGTTACCTTTAAAATAAAAAACTAAAACTAGGCAGAAAATGTTTATCAAAGATGTTTACTACTGATTTCTCACTAGGGACGACTAGCTCCGAGAAACAATTTACTTTGGTGTTTCCTTTCTTTAGACATGCTAATAATCAAAAATTCAAGTCTTGACATTTAAGGATCAATAGCAAAACAGATTCTATATGATTCAGCAGCAAAGAACAAGAATAAAATATATGGTTAATTCCCTTTTTGTACCCTAATTGGAATACGTGTCTACCAATAATAGTAACTCTATTCCCAAAAGTCTTGTTGAAAAGAAAAAAAAAAAAACAGTATGACACTATGAACTTTAATTCAATTTCCAACACTGACTGTTTTTTACAAATCTAGATTTGCACTGGGACAGTTTAAGACATAGATATTTCTAAAATTATAAGCAAAGTATATGATTATTCCTCTGCAAACAAAAATGTTACAGTGAAAAACAGGATGTTAGAAAGGGAGAAATACAAAGTAGTGTTTACAAGTATAAGTTAAGTATAAGACAAAACGCTCTTTAGATCAAGGAGAACATTAAGTAAGGTGAATCTGAATGATGCTGAAACCCTCACTCAAATCTG